CCTCGACGCGCTTCTTGAGCTCCGCGAGGTAGGCGACGAGGCACCGCTCGTCGACGTTGGCGTCGTCGGCGTCGAAGAGGGGCGCGACGCCCCAGCGGCGCTCCGCGTACGCGAGCGCCGACGCGAGGTCGCCGCGGCCGTCGAGCGCCGCCCGCGCCGCGTCGTCCAGGTCCCGCAACAGCCGCGGCACGATCGTCGCCGCGCTCAGCGGCGACTCCTCGGCGCTCGCGCGCGCCCAGAGCAGCACGGGCCCGCGCTCGCGCGCGACGACGTGCGCGACGATGGACCACACGAGGCCCAACACCAACTCCGTCTTCGCGTCGGCGACGTCCAGGGGGCCGATGCCCGTGTGGTTCACGCCGAGGCGCGCGAGCGCGCCGAAGACGCAGTTCAGGTTGTCCACGGCCTCGATGCGGCTCGGCTCGCGGTGCCGCCGGCGGCCCTCGCGCAGGCCCCGCGGCGCCTGGCGCCCGGCGGGCAGCAGCTCCTTGGGGTCCGCGAAGGTCTCGAGCAGCATCCAGAGCACGACCCCGCTCCGCAGCCGCGCCGCGAACTCCTCGGCGCCGATGGCCGCGAGCTCCGCCGCGGCGATGGCGCCCTCGAGCCGCCCGTTCATCCACCCGGCCCAGCGCCGGCAGTCCCGCTCGCTCTGCAGCTGCGACGCCACGGACTGGCGCCGGTTCGACATCCTGGGCGACGCGTCGTCGGCGCGCTTCCGTTCCGCGCCGGCGGCCGGTTCCACCGGGGCGAAGCCTATGCCCAAACCGCTTCTCTTGGGCTGCCCGAGGCCGACCTTTGAGGGGGTGGTGCAGACTAAAAAGCTGAAGGTCGAATCTATTGGTCCAAAGCATTCGAAACGCGCCAAGAAGCCAGAGCTCAAAGCCTCGCGGCGGCCGCCATGAAGCTCACGCTCGCCCTCGCCACCGGCGCCGCCGCGTCCGGCAACATGAACGGTCCCTACACGGTGAGCTCCGGCGCGGGCAAGACCGGCGTCGCGTTCAACAGCGACTACGCCAGCAAGGGCCACGAGTACTTTGACGTCTACAGCCCCGAGCTCGCGACGCAGTACGCGCGCCGGCGTCGCGCCGCGGCGACGATTCCGCGCGACGCGATCGCCGCAGGTACGCCGAGGTCTTCTGGACCGACATGGGCAAGCAGCCCATCCCCCAGGCGATCATCGACCGCTTCGCGAACAAGACCATGGCGAGCACCCGGGTCCCGCCGCGTCGAGCGACTCTGGACCCCGCGCCGCGTCGCAGGCGATCACGGGCTACGAGATGGACATGGTCATGGTCAGCCCGCTGGACGCGCCGGGCCAGCACCCGGAGAACGACGTCTCCGTGCCCATCAACTGGGCCTACAACCACCACTACGAGGCGTGGATGACGGGCAAGTACAGCGAGCTCCGGAAGATCGAGCACCCGGACCCCGCGGACCTCACGTTCCACGGCAGCCCGAAGACGCTGGAGCTCGTCGAGGCCGACGGCGCGCGCGACGCGCTCGGCGACGTTCCCTCGTCCCAGTGGTTCTCCGAGGGCAACGGCGGCGAGAGCCGCAAGTCGTTCCACGGCTACCCGGACGGCTACGCGCAACTCATCGGGTCGCCCGACGCCTGGCACATCGAGCCCATGCAGATCGACACGCGCAACCGCGAGTGCGGCGTGCGGCCCGAGGACGTCGGCAACTGCACCAAGTTCGAGGCCTGGCTCGAGCCCAAGCAGGCGCGGTCCGGCCCGGCGTCGTAAAACCGCGGGAACGAACGCGCCATCGCCGCGCGCCGCAGGTCCGGCCGGTCCCACCTCAAGGCGGGCTCGCCCTACAGCGGCGTCCTCGAGTGCCCCTGCACGTCGCGCTACGGCGGCTCCGTGGAATATTATGGCGAGGCGGCGGGGACCAAGGCGGGCGGCGCGCTCTGCGAGGCCGGCGGCAAGAACTGCCACCAGTTCAACGCGACGCCGCGCTGCGCGGGCCCCTGGAACGGCGAGCCGTCGGCGTCCGGCGGCGAGCTCCTGGCCATGGGCAACCCGACGTGCGCGTCGTCGACGTACGCGGGCGGCCTCCAGTGCTGCGGCCACAAGCGCATCCTCTTGGACGCGGACCAGGACCCGGGGCCGGACCTCCTCCGCTACCACATGAAGCGGCGCGCGGCGTCCCTCTTTGCGCTCGTCGTGGAAACCGATCTTCTAGGTTCCGCTTCTGGTTCCAGGAGTACGAGCCGGCGACGGCGACGGCGAAGGCGTCCCACAGCGACCTGCCGCGCTACTACTACCTCACGGAGCAGAACGCGGGCGAGTACGACATCCCGCCGGCGTTCCGCGCGCCCGGCGACCCGGAGATCCCCGGCATGCCCGGCTGGCCCATCTCGACGTCGTCGGCGGACCTCCACCTCACGCCCGGCACGTCCTGCGTCGGCGACTGCCCCGGCGGCCCGGACTGCGAGTGCGAGCACACGATCACGTCGCACTTCTCGATGTCGAACGCGTCGATGATCTACGCCGGCGGCCACTGCCACGCGCCGGCCTGCATCTCCATCGAGCTCTACAAGAACGACACGGGCACGCCCGAGCTGCTCTGCCGCCAGGTCTCCGTCTACGGCGAGGGCGACGTCGCCGCGGACAAGTTCGACGAGGTCGGCTACGTCGCGCTGCCGCCCTGCCTCTGGGGCTCCAAGGACGAGGGCCTCGAGCCGCCGGTCTTCCTCGGCGAGGACACGCCCATGTTCTCCATCACGCACACCTGGAACACGCACGTCGGCCACACGGGCCAGATGGCGTCCTGGCAGATGCGCGGCGTGCCCTTCGCGGCCACCGCGTGAGGTGGCCGTCCCGAGCGTCTCTGTTGCAGCGGCCCGCCCCAAGTCCCGCGCGGTCGCTCCGCTCAATCGTCGCCCCGAATCGGCGTCGAACCCTGCCCGTGTAATGCTCAAGAAGCGTCGGGCGCGGGGCTCGCCGATTTGCTGCCAGTGGTCCTGAGTGGATTTCAAAGCTGTGGAAGTGCGCCAGTGCCTCCGCTCGATGACACCCCCCGTCTGAAGTTTTCCACGACGATTTGGACCGCGAGTACGTGCTTTTGGGCCGCGAGTACGTGCCGGTGGAAGATGTCAGGGCCATGCAAGAGCACGTGCGGCGCGAATTTAAAGGAGCAGAAGTCATGCTTCCTCGAGCAACAGTACGTGCTGTTTGAGTGCCAAGTAGCCTTACGCAACGGGGTCGACCTCGATCTCAAGGTGCCAGACCTTGACTACGAGACCCGTCTCGGTACAGGCAGGTACATATAGAACGGTACCATCCGGGGGTATTTTTTAACGGCCGCGACGCACCCATCTAGCGGCCGTGCCCTTTTGCATACCCCGGGACGAGTCAGAGATGCGTCTTTCCTGAAAAAAGCGCGTCCAACGGACATGATGGCGTCGAGATCCGAGCCCTGCGGGACTCCTGATAGTCCTACGTAGGATATATAGAACGGTACTTTCGAGGATGTAGCGCCCGGCGATGATCCGATGGCCCCAAAACCTGCTGATTTTGTGCACACGCCGAGGCGGGGGCAAGGTGCGCCCCCCGCCAAAAGAAGCACGTCCAACGGCACCGATCGCGTCGAGCATCAGTGCCACCCAGTGGCTCTAGGGCCTCCCGCTACCTATCCTAGTTAGGATATTGAGAGCCTCTAGGAGAGGCTCTGGTACTCGACACGCTCGGCGCCAAACTGCGCGGTTCTTTTGTCGGGGGCCGCATCCTGTCTCGGCCTCGGCGTGTGCGCAAAATCAGCAGGTTCTGGGACTATCGGAGCATCGCCGGGCACTCTTAATCCCCAGGGTACCGTTCTATGTATAGTACCGTTCTATATGTACCTGCCTGTAAAGCAATACGAAAGGGTTGGATTGAGATCGTCCGCTGGCTGCTCGCGCACGGCGCGGATCCGAACGCGGAGTCCGGATGGATCGGAAAGCCGCCACTGCACGTGGCCATAAGCAAATGCATCGCACTTGGCATTCCGTACAGCGCTGAGTGCACGACGCTCCTGCTCGATGCAGGAGGACTCGTCGACGCGCGCGACAAGGATTCGTACACGGCGCTCTTCGACGTGGCCGCGTTGGGAGAGTGCGCGATGGTGAAGCTACTGTTAAGCCGCGGCGCTTCGGTCCACACGGTGACCGTCGCAAACGACAACGACCCCCGCTGGATCACGCACCCCAACGACCCCGAGGCCTTCGCGCGTTCCTACGCGCGCGACCTCTCCGAACCCTTCTGCGAGGGTCCCCGGGATGAAATGCGTGCCGACGCCGCCTTGGCCGCGGCCGACCTTCTGGCCGACGTGCGCGCGGCCGGCGGCTGGGCCGCGTACGTCGCCGCGCCGCGGAACCAGCTGAGGGCGCTCCGTCGCCGGTTTGCGGACCCGACGCTGCGCCTCGCTCCCCCCTTCGCCCCCCTCCTCCTTGTCCGCCTCTTCCTCGACCCCAAAGTCCCCGAAGAGATTTTCACGCACGTCTTCGCCTTCTGGCGCAGCGAGCGCGACTCGCACTACTAAGTTCTAACTTTTCCCACCGTGTTGACCATGGTCCGTGACTGGCACCCATGACGCACGCCATGACTGAGTCGAGAAAAAATTTACTACGAGAGGTCCTTGATGGACACGTGGGGCTGGCAGGTCCACTCCTTGGTCGAGTGGCAGTAGAAGGTCCAGCAGTTCGCCGACGCGTTCGACAGGGGGAGCATGACGTCGGCCTCGAGGTAGCCCCACGCGCGGTCCATGGTCTCGTGGTCCGTGATGAGCCACGCGCCGTTGCCCCGGTTCCGGCTCGAGCCCGGGTGCCAGCGCACGAGGACGTTGCCGCGCTTCCAGGCGGGCTTCCCGAAGTAGAGGCCGTCCATGCGCTTGAAGTTGCCGTCGAAGCCCGCCATCGCGCACGGGTCCTTGATGTCGCCGAGGCCGTCGACGGCGAGGGCGCGCGACGCGCGCGGCGTCAGCGACGCGCGCCGCGCGGCGTAGATGCCCGCGAGCGCGTGGCGCAGCCGCGTCGCGGCCTCGGCGTCGTCGATCTTCCGGTCGTCCGCGAGCTCCAACCAAAACGCGGGCTCGCCGCGGTGCTCGACGCCGAGCCGCGGGAAGCCGCCGCGCTCCGCGGCGCAGGCCGCCTTGCCGTCCCCGGCGAAGCACGTGGCCAGCGACACGTCGAAGAGCGGCGCGTATTTCGCCCTCGCGACGCGGAGCGCGCGGAGCACGTGGGGCCCCATGCCGTCGTCGACGAGCAGCGTCGCCATGGGCGTTTTCTCGTCGACGGCCGCGCAGGTCCGGTCCGCCGCGGAGCAGCCGCGCTGGTCCGGCGACGTGTCGAGCAGGGGCACGCGCGAGTCCCGGAGCCATTTCGCGACCCTCGCCAAACGCATGGGCAGGTTGTTGTGCGGCTCGCAGTCCACGGGCTCCGCGTCGACGTAGCGGTCCCAGGCCCGGCCCTCGGCGGCCCAGGGCAGGGGCGGCAGCAGGAAGACCGCGGGCCAGTTCCGCCGGTCGCCCGCGCCCGCGTCGCGGCCGAGCGCGTCGACCCAGCCCCGGTTCGACTCCACCGCGGCGTTGACGGCGGCGACGCGGAGCCAGTCGTAGCCCTTGACGCGCTTCGCGAAGGCCTCGACGACCTTGGACAGCGACGCGCAGGCCTTGCGGTCCTCCTGGTCGCAGACGTAGACGACCCAGACGCCGCCGTGCTCGCCGAGCGCCTTCCGCGCGTAGCGCTCCTCGAGCGGCAGGACGTGGCCGTCCTTGGCGCGCGCGAAGTCGTCCTTGAGCGTGACGCGCTCCGACGCCATGCGCATGCCCTGGCGCGTGCGCTGCCAGCCGCGGCGCTCGAAGGTCAGCCGCTCGTCGGCGTAGGTCTTGACGTCGCGCCAGACGTCGCCGCCGTAGCGCGCGAAGCGCGCGAAGAAGCTCCGCGTCGACGGCTCCTTCAACGCCTCATAGGCCTCCTGCAGCCGCCGGAAGCGGCCCGCGGCGTCGGGGTGGTCGCTCTTGTCCGGGTGCAGCTCGAGGGCGCGCCGCTTGTAGAGCTTCTTCAGCTCGGCCTCGTCCAGCGACTGCAGCGCTTCCGCCTCGACGCCCAGGAGGTCCAGGTACTCGCTCTGCGCCGCGATCCGTGCAACGCACAGGAGCGCCGCGAGGGCGAGCAGTTTTTGCATGATGACCATGCTTGGCCGCATCGCGGCTCGACTGAGCTCGCCTGGGTGTTTCTGCCCTCTCCCGCGCCATCGAGGGAGGGACACGTCGTCCCGGTGGGAGCCTGTCGCCGTTCGGTCGCACGGACGTCCAGGCGCGCTGGCCGCCGAGGGCTGGCGCTGGTCCGCCCTACCGGCGCGGACCTCGGGCGCGGCGCGGCGGCCGGACGTCCCGGACCGCGGCGCGGCCGCGGCGTCCCGCTGCGGCTCTTCTTTGGTGATCCACTGGCATCGCGCCTGCGAGCCCCCCGTTGCCTCGGCCTTGGCGGTCGGTAGCGCCTTTTTCTAAGCACGCAGGCACGCACCACGCCGGTTACATTTCCTCCAACGTTGCAACGCGACACAGTGCGGCTGGCCGGGGGTCTTTTGCTTCGGCGACGGCCTCGCTCCCGTCGTCGAGTGCTGTCGGCGACAGGCTATCCGTATGCGCCCGCGTCCTGCGATGCCGACGCCGAGAGAGGGGATGGTCGCGTGTGCTTACGACGGTTTCGACGACGGGCTGACGCTGTGCGGCGACGGCGGCGCGGGCTGGCCGCGGTTCGGCGGCGCGTCGTCGATTGCCGACAGCGAAGCCTGCCGCCGACGCCGCGCCGTCGACGGCGGCGGCGCGCGCGGTCGCCCACTGTCTGCTGCGCCCCCGGGAGCGGCGCCGAGGGCGGCTGCGACGCTGCCGCCGGCCGGCACACCGACGAGAGGGGTTCGGCCGGCCGACGCGACGACGAGCGCGCGCCCGATCGCCCGAAGCCGCCGCGCCGCGCAGCGCCCGACGCCCTCCCCCCCTCCTAGGCCAAGATGCCGTTCGTCAAGATCATCAAGAACAAGGCGTACTTTAAACGGTACCAGGTCAAGTACAAGCGCCGGCGGGAGGGCAAGACGGACTACCGCGCGCGCAAGCGCCTCATCACGCAGGACAAGAACAAGTACAACACGCCGAAGTACCGCCTCGTCGTGCGCTTCTCGAACAAATACGTGACCTGCGCCGTGCACTCGTCCGAGCTCGTCGGCGACAAGTGCATCGCGACCGCGACGTCCAAGGAGCTCGGGCGCTACGGCCTCAAGGTCGGCCTCAAGAACTTCGCCGCGGCCTACTGCACGGGCCTCCTCGTCGCGCGCCGCCTCCTCGCCAAGGTCGGTCTCGACGAGCTCTACGAGGGCAACACGGACCCCGAGGGCGAGGTCGTCAAGACGGAGGTCGGCAAGAAGGAGTACTACGTCGAGGAGCTCGACGACGACAAGCGCCCCTTCAAGTGCATCCTCGACGTCGGCATCCAGACGACGACGACGGGCAACCGCGTCTTCGGCGCGCTCAAGGGCGCGACGGACGGCGGCCTCGACATCCCCCACAACTACAAGCGCTTCCCGGGCTACGACAAGGAGTCCAAGGAGTTCGACGCCGAGGCCATGAAGGACCGCATCTTCGGCGCCCACGTCTCCGAGTACATGGAGAAGCTCATGGACGAGGACAACGCCAAGTACCAGCAGCTCTTCGCCGACTACATCAAGGAGGGCGTCGAGCCCGACGGCATGGAGGACCTCTACACGAGCGTCCACGAGGCCATCCGCGAGGACCCCTCCCCGGCGGAGAAGGAGGAGTTCGAGGTCGAGGACCGCGAGGCCTACAAGAAGACGCCCAAGCTCACCTACGAGGAGCGCAAGGCGCGCGTCGCGGCCAAGAAGGCCGAGATGGAGGAGGACGACGAGGACGACGAGGACGAGGAGGAGGAGGAGGAGGCCGAGGAGGCGCCCAAGAAGGCGGACTACTAGGCCGCTTCCGTCGCTCTTCTCGCTCCGCCGCCGCCCCGCCGCTCCGGCGCGCGCGGGGGGGTCGATGACCTTCGCGCGCGCCGGGGCTTCCGCGGTCCCGCTCCGGGCCCGCACTCCTAACAAACTCAAGCTCAGCATGGTGTCCGCGTTGTGTTGTGTTCGAAGTCTAGTTGGGTTTTCAATGTCTTACATTCTTCCCGGGACTTTCCACGGGGACTTTCGTTTTCATTTTTTGGGGGAGGGTACATGCGGGATCGAGTGGAGCCGCGCCGCGGCCGTCGGGCCGTCAAGGCGGGACGGACGTCGCGAGCTCCGTGGTCTTGCTTGGTGGTTGAGGTGAGCGCCTGGCTTGAGCGCGCACGTCGAAGAGGCGCCTAGGCCGTCTTCTTCTTCTTGGAGCTCTTGTTGATGAGCGACTTGTGGATGTGCCTGTGAAAAACGGGGTTTTTGACGCGTTTCGAAGCCAAAAAAGCCCTCGAAAGTCGTCACGGACGCCGGGATGCGTGCGGGATGACGCCGCCGCCCGCGATCGTCGCCTTGATGAGCGTGTCGAGCTCCTCGTCGCCGCGGATGGCGAGCTGGAGGTGGCGCGGCGTGATGCGCTTCATCTTGAGGTCCTTGCAGGCGTTGCCCGCGAGCTCGAGCACCTCGGCCGTGAGGTACTCGAGGATGGCGGCCGTGTAGACGGCGGCCGTCGCGCCGACCTACGACGTGCGACGCATGGACCTCGTCGAGGCGCTCGAGCGTTCGAGGCGTTCGAAGCGCGACGGGATCGGATCTCGTCGAGGCGCTCGACGCGTTCGAGGCGCGAGACTTCGAGGGCGCGAGACTTCGAGGGCGCGCGTGGACATGGACGCCGGTGCAGACGCGCTGGGACGCGGTCACCCGCAACTTGAGGAAGCGGTGAAGACGACCGACCGGGAACTGGAGGCCCGCCTTGAGGGACTTGGTCTGGGGAGCCTTCTTGCCTACGGAGTGCGTCGGTGAAAAAAAAAAAAAAAGGACGTCATGGATGAGGACGCTGCGCTTCTCACTCGTCGGGGCCTTGCCGCCCTTGCCTCCCTTGCCGCCTTTGCCACCTTTCTGCGCGAGGGGAAGACGAAATTTGGCGTTTTCTGGGGCATTTTGAAGGCCCCCGTGGCGCGACCGAAGTACGACCGAAGTGCGGTCGCGTATGTCGAGGCGCCGCCCATGGAGGCGCGGCGACATACGCGACCGCACTTCGGTCGTACTTCGGTCGCGCCACGGGGGCCTTCAAAATGCCCCAGAAAACGCCAAATTTCGTCTTCCCCTCGCGCAGAAAGGTGGCAAAGGCGGCAAGGGAGGCAAGGGCGGCAAGGCCCCGACGAGTGAGAAGCGCAGCGTCCTCATCCATGACGTCCTTTTTTTTTTTTTTTCACCGACGCACTCCGTAGGCAAGAAGGCTCC